ACAGGTTGTCAAAGGTAATTCCTTGGGAGTGTTGTACTGTACTTGTTGAGGTTCAAACTACAATTTACAGAATTTTTTTTTATTGTATTTTATTTTTTAAAAAACAATTTTTTAAGTTTTTACAAGTATTGTTTTTTAACTATATAAAATATTTTTATTTTATTAAACTGTCTAATTAATTTGATGTTTATTGCTTGAAAACAACAGCAAAAAGGAAGAATTTTAGTCATTGACAATCTTGATGCTTGACAGTACCTGGTCATCATTAACTTTCATTGTATGGAAAAAGAAACATGACCATTTTCTCTGATTCATTTTGTGAAATATTAAATATTGTGAATGTATTTATTTTTTTAAATGATAGGAAAAATAAACTACTAACCAGCAATTGGTCCCAAAATGTCTACCTTATTATTTGGAACCTTGCAATCTATTAATTTAATTTAATTTAATTTTGTTTTGTGCATACTACGGCAAAAATCCTCTCTTTTCCATCCTCCTTTGTATTCAACTGCTGAAAGAAAGTCTTTTTAAAAAAAGTTTTTTAACAACATTAGTGTGAGTAAATAATGACAGGACTTTTATTTTTGGGATGAGCATCCCTTTAAAAGATGTGAACCTTAGAACGTGAGAATGGGCCTGGTCAAGGCATTTTCTCTTTCTCAGAGCAAAAACATAATGGTGCTTTCAAGAATTGATATTGAATTAGCAATGCTGAATGAAAATAGTTTAGCAAAGAGGATAAAACATCATTATCATAGACAGAGCGGCATTCATCAGAGCCACATGTTTCTAGATCAAATCACATGTATCCCATGCTCCACAGTGTCAGGTGAATGAACTGCACATAGTAAGAAAGAAAAAAGACATTAGTATCAGATTAAATGTTTCACAAAACCATTAGGACATTTGGATTTATGTATGCTCGTCCTTGTTTACAAATGACTAGAAAGTAAGGAAGGAGAATGAGTTATTTCTTCAAATGTGTGATCTCTTGTAGTTTTTAATTTCATAATCATTCAGATTTTCTCCTGGATTCGTGTTATTATTTTCTTTTACTGCCTGTAAATAGAAAGGCATGCACTTTGATGAATTACAAAGGATACAAAGTCATACCACTTAGACTCAGCATGCAAGTAAACCTCAGATAAGGGCCCTCAGAGGATAAACACACCCAGTGCTCCACTTGTTATGGACGCCGGCCAAGCAACCCCAGAACGTTTAGATGCCGTCTGAAAGCTGCCACCAGCACTGTCCTGTGCTACTATTTATATACCAAATTTTGACAGGTTTTCCAAACCATAAAGAAGAAACAAGGAACTTTTTTTTCTCCTGAAATTATATATTTTTTTATGCGTAATGTTGAAAGTTCCCTTAGCAAGCTGTCTATAGTCAGATGTGGACCATGCGCTGTGTGCTGTAGGTGGTCTTGTTGAGTCTGGAGCAGTGTTAGCTGCGGCTAATAAGATCAGTGTGGGAGTGACACACTTTCCACATCTGTGGCTTGTGTCCTGGTGGGTGACTGCACAGTGTTCCTGCCGGCTCCCATGTTGTGCTTTCAGACTTTTGCCAACAGCTTGTCTGCTGAATGTGGATAGAGAAGATATTTGGGTATACGCCCATCCTTCTTCCAGTGACATGCATGAACAGTAGACTCTGTGGTTAGAATAATGCGTTTGTTCGTTTCGTTGACACTGGACCCTAGATAGGGAAGCCTCTAGCCTCTTTGTATTAGTCAGTTTTAATACAAATTATATGGGCTCTTGCTATGTGTACATATATTCTACCATTCAAAGGTTTGGGGTTTTTGAAAGAAATGAATACTATTATTCAGCAAGGATGCATTAAATTGATCACAAGTGACAGTAAAGTTACATTATTACAAAAATTTATTTTGGAAATAAATGCTGTTCATTTAAACTTTCTATTCATCAAAGAATCTGTTCTGGTCATCAAAAAAATTGTAATAATATTTCACAATATTACTGTTTTGACTGTATTTTTGATCAAATAAATGCAGCCTTGGTGAGCATAAAGTGTGGGAGTGACACACTTTCCACATCTGTGGCTTGTGTCCTGGTGGGTGACTGCACAGTGTTCCTGCCGGCTCCCATGTTGTGCTTTCAGACTTTTGCCAACAGCTTGTCTGCTGAATGTGGATAGAGAAGATATTTGGGTATACGCCCATCCTTCTTCCAGTGACATGCATGAACAGTAGACTCTGTGGTTAGAATAATGCGTTTCGTTGACACTGGACCCTAGATAGGGAAGCCTCTAGCCTCTTTGTATTAGTCAGTTTTAATACAAATTATATGGGCTCTTGCTATGTGTACATATATTCTACCATTCAAAGGTTTGGGGTTTTTGAAAGAAATGAATACTATTATTCAGCAAGGATGCATTAAATTGATCACAAGTGACAGTAAAGTTACATTATTACAAAAATTTATTTTGGAAATAAATGCTGTTCATTTAAACTTTCTATTCATCAAAGAATCTGTTCTGGTCATCAAAAAAATTGTAATAATATTTCACAATATTACTGTTTTGACTGTATTTTTGATCAAATAAATGCAGCCTTGGTGAGCATAAAATACTTGTTTATGCAAAAATATAAAAAAATCTTCTGACTCCAATCTTTTTGAATGGTAGTTTATATTTTATAGTACAGTTTAGTGTTGGCAATGTGTATGTATATCAATGTACCCGAAATTAGGTAAACCTTTATTTTACACAATATGTGTATAAATATATGTAATTAGTTTTAAAAAATTAGGCACATTTAAATATATATATATATATATATATATATTGCATTTGGATATAGATTTGCCAGCAATGCTCACCAGAGAGATGCATCTGTAATTGGTGCACTCATTCTGGCTTCCCTTGTAAAAAGTGGCTATTTTTGTATCTTGCATGTGCACACTTACTTCCTTCCTTTCAGCACTAATGCATGGACAGGGTGGAGTGGCCTTAGCTTAGTTCTTACTGCTGCTGTGTGCCAAAATACAAGATTTCTAAAGTCAAAGGTAAATTCATAAACACATTAATCACATCATTGCATACATTTACTGTATTGAATTTGGACAGTTAACTAACTGTTCAATGAAAATACCAGATTTTCTGGAACTGTTTGATGTACTTTGCAAATAGCACAAACGATGTAAGGACAGAGAAATGTCTGTGGTCTGTAATGCGCCATTATACTCCTATATTAACTCACTCGACCTCTTGCGTTGCCATTTTATTGGTGGCATCTTTGAGTTCAGAGCTGTTTTTCTCTGTGTGGGGTGACTAATGAATCACTAAATGGGATCTCTCTCTATGCCACTCAGAGTAATGGCCTGCTTTTCTATGTGGCATTGATTATTCACAGCTGATTCCAAGGGAAACTTTCCCGGAAATGGAGTGGTTTCTGTCCTTCCTATAATTTAGATGTTCTACTTCTGAAGTTCGAATACCTGCCCAGGCTATTATAGGCTTCCTTGAATAGTTTATGGCAGGATTTCCCAATCTGGGAGTCACCAGAGCTTTCTTAGGGATCGCCAAGTCTATTTGATATTGATTTTAGCTACACTACAATCAAATAACTTTCAGATAACCCTCTTGTAAATAAAAAATACTTCTTCTGTTGTTTTGAAACTAGACATGATCTTGTACACATGATGTCATAGGTCACTCAACACTTACACACATATATATATATATATATATATA